GGATGACGGTACGGAGGACGGGGAGGAGTGAGCGAAAGGGAGGAGGACGAGGAAGAGGAACGGGTTGAGGGCATACGCGAGCAGATGGAGGGGGAGGTCCGCCGGGGGGCCTAGGGGGCCTACGGAGTTGCTTCTCGGGCGCCGTGTGATACGATTGGTTTCGAGTAGATGAGGTCGGAGGATCGCGCCGCATCGCCGATGCATCGTCCTTGTGGTCCGATGTGGGACGCGATTTTCTACACGCCGATTCGTCGGCGATGCAGTGCGATTTTCCGACCACGCATTTTCGCACTACATTTAGGAATCCATTCTTTTTGCGGGTTTCCAATCGGTCGTTTTCCCCGTTTCGTTTTCCATGTCTGTTGTGCACTCTTTCTCTCTCTCTCTCTCTCTCTCGTTTTCTCTCATTTGCTCCATTTCTCTTTCTCTCTCTCTCTCTCTCTTTATCTCACTCGTGCTTCCTCTCTATGCCCCTCGCCTTCTCCCTCTGTTTTTCTCTCCCTCCCTTTCCCTCTCCCTCTCTTGGTGTCTTTCTCCCTCTCCCCACTTACTTACTTCGGAGGAGGAAGAGGAGGAGCTGGCTCCCACGGAGTCCTTCCCCGCCGTTATACCCAGAGGTCTGCCGCCCGCCGCACCCCTGGCGCAGCCAGAGCCCGCGGAGACGCTGGCAGCCCGGGGCAGGGGACGAATCCTTTCTTTTATTCCCAACCATCTTGTGGTGTTGGGTCCTTGTTTTGAAGAGACAGCGCCCCGCGTCCCACCTTCCTTCCTCCTCCTCCCCCCTCCTCCCCACCCCCCCTCCCAGTGCAGCGTTTCGTGGTCCCATAGGGAGCTCCACCGAAGGCCCACTGGGGGTGTTCGCATGCGGTTCCCCCACCCAGGGCAGCGTTTCGTGGCCCCATAGGGAGCTCCACCGAAGGCCCCAGTGGGGGTGTTCGCATGCGGTTCCCCCACCCAGGGCAGCGCTTCGCGGCCCCCAAGGGACCTCCACCGAAGGCCCCAGTGGGGGTGTTCGCATGCGGTTCCCCCGCCCAGGGCGGCGCTTCGTGGCCCCATAGGAAGCTCCACCGAAGGCCCCAGTGGCTGCTCTCGTTTGCGGTTCCCCCACCCAGGGCAACGTTTCGTGGCCCCATAGGGAGCTCCACCGAAGGCCCCAGCGGCTGCTCTCGCATGCGGTTCCCCCACCCAGGGCAGCGTTTCGTGGCCCCATGGGGAGCTCCACCGAAGGCCCCAGTGGCTGCCCTCGCATTGCGGTTCCCCCCATCCAGGGCAGCGCTTCGTTCGCCCCTGGGCCCTATAAAGAGCTCCACCGAAGGCCACAGTGGTTGCTCTCGCATGCGGTTCCCCCACCCAGGGCAGCGTTTCGTGGCCCCATAGAGAGCTCACCGAAGGCCCCACTGGCTGCTCTCGCATGCGGTTCCCCCACCCAGGGCAGCGGTTCGTGGCCCCATATGGAGCTCCACCGAAGGCCCCAGTGGCTGCTCTCGCATGCGGTTCCCCCGCCCACGGCAGCGCTTCGCGGCCCTCGGGGGAGCTCCACCGAATGCCCCAGTGGCTGCTCTCGCATGCGGTCCCCCCGCCCAGGGCAGCGTGTCGTGGTCTCATAGGGAGCTCCACCGAAGGCCCCCGTGGCGCAGTTCGCATGCGGATCCCCCACCCAGGACAGCGCTTCGCGGCCCCAAAGGGAGCTCCACCGAAGGCCCCAGTGGCGCAGTTCGCCTGCGGTTCCCGTACCCAGGGCAGCGGTTCGTGGCCCCATAGGGCGTTCCACCGAAGGCCCCCGCCCAGGGCAGCGCTTCGTGGCCCCATGGGGAGCTCCACCGAAGGCCCCAGTGGTGCAGTTCGCATGCGGTTCCCCCACCCAGGGCAGCGCTCCGTGGCCCTCGGGGGAGCTCCACCGAAGGCCCCCGTGGTGCAGTTCGCATGCGGATCCCCCACCCAGGGCAGCGGTTCGTGGACCCATAGGGGGATCCACCGAAGGCCACAGTTGCGTAGTTCGCATGCGGTTCCCCCGCCCAGGGCGGCGCTTCGTGGCCCCATAGGGAGCTCCACCGAAGGCCCGCCCCAGTGGCGCAGTTCGCATGCGGTTCCCCCACCCAAGGCAGCGTTTCGTGGCCCCATAGGGAACCCCACCGAAGGCGGCACCCACAACGCGTTACGAACAATTGCTTATGGTTGGGTCATTCGCCAGGATAAGTCGGCGGCTGCGCAGGAAAGTAGTATTAGTAGTAGTAGTAGTAGTAGTAGTAGTAGTAGTAGTCGTCGTCGTCGTCGTCGTCGTCGTCGTCGTCGTCGTCGTCGTCGTCGTCGTCGGCTCGTCGTCGTCGTCGTCGTCGTCGTCGTCGTCGTCGTCGTCGTCGTAGTCGTCGTAGTCGTGGTCGTCGTCGTAGTCGTAGTCGTAGTCGTAGTAGTCGTAGTAATCGTAGTAGTCGTAGTAGTCGTGATAGTCGTAGTAGTCGTAGTATCGTAGTAGTCGTCGTAGTAGTAATAATAGTAATAATGTAGTAGTAGTAGTAGTAATAGTAGTAGTAGTAGTAGTAGTAGTAGTAGTAGTAGTAGTAGTAGTAGTAATAGTAGTACTGGTAGTAGTAGTAGTAGTAGTAGTAGTAGTAGTAGTAGTAGTAGTAGTAGTAGTAGTAGTAGTAGTAGGAGTAGTAGGAGTAGGAGTAGGAATAGGAGTAGGAGTCAAGCTAGCCAGCTTGAGCGAGTCAAGCATGGCATGCCCAGTCCCACCCGCCCTCCCACAACATAAGAAGCAAAGCTGGCACAACTGGGGGCCGAAGTCACACCGGCCAGCCGGTTTGGTACAGCTGATGCGGCCGCGATGGCGGTTGCCGACGGGAACTGGCGAGCGCGTGTTGAATGCCGCGCACGCATTGCCAGACGAGTCGAGAATGGCCCGGTACACCGCAGGAAGCCAGAGGTGGCCGGAGGAAGCCCGACGGTCTGACAGGACACCCCAAAGCATTTTTGTGAAAAAGCATTGGGTTTTTGATGTTTTTTATGTTGAAATGCTTGCAAAACACGGTATTCGGTAGGATTCTGACATGAACGCGCGAGTGTGCTCTTTGTAGTATTTTTTGCACAGGATTCGCGGCCTGGGTGCATGACAGAGCATCGCGAGTGCACCGCGCGATGACGTGAAATCGCTGGATTTGACCGAATTCTTAAGATTCCTATGGTTTTCCTATGATTTCAGCAAGACAGCCCGGGCGGGAAATTTGTACAATTTTTTATGAAAAAAAAAGCATTGGGTTTTTGATGTTTTTATGTTGAAATGCTTGCAAACACACGGTGTTCGGTAGGATTCTGACATGAACGCGCGCGTGTGCTCTTTGTGGTATTTTTTGCAATGGATTATCGCCGTGGACGACAGGACGTCCATGTCGAGAGGAAAAAATAAGAAAAATGTTGATTTTGTATTGTTTTTTACAGGTTAGGATGGGACCACCCGGATGCGCCCGCTATCTGCCGGCCTGAGGGGGGAGTAGGAGTATATTCTAATAAGGAATAAGGATAGGAGTAGTAGTAGTAGTAGTAGTAGTAGTAGTAGTAGTAGTAGTAGTAGTAGTAGTAGTAGTAGTAGTAGTAGTAGTAGTAGTAGTAGTAGTAGTAGTAGTAGTGGTGGGAGTAGTAGTAGTAGTAGTAGTAGTAGTAGTAGTAGTCGTTGTAATAGGAGTATTCGTAGTCGTATTTGTGGTAGTAGTCGTAGTAGTAGTAGTAGTAGTAGTAGTAGTAGTAGTAGTAGTAGTAGTAGTAGTGGTAGTAGTGGTAGTAGAAGTAGAAGTAGTAGTAGTAGTATTAGTAGTAGTAGTAGTAGTAGTAGTAGTAGTAGTAGTAGTAGTAGTATTATAGTAGTAGTAGTAGTAGTCGTAGTGTTAGTCGTAGTAGTAGTAGTAGTAGTAGTAGTGGTAGTAGTAGTTAGTAGTAGTAGTAGTTAGTAGTAGTAGTAGTAGTAGTAGTAGTAGTAGTAGTAGTAGTAGTAGTAGTAGTAGTAGTAGTAGTAGTAGTAGTAGTAGTAGTAGTAGTAGTAGTAGTAGTAGTAGTAGTCAGTAGTAGTAGTAGTAAGTAGTAGTAGTAGTAGTAGTAGTAGTAGTAGTAGTAGTAGTAGTAGTAGTAGTAGTAGTAGTAGTAGTCGTAGTAGTAGTAGTAGTAGTAGTAGTAGTAGTAGTAGTAGTAGTAGTAGTAGTAGTAGTAGTAGTAGTAGTAGTAGTAGTAGTAGTAGTAGTAGTCGTCGTAGTAGTAGTAGTAGTAGTAGTAGTAGTAGTAGTAGTAGTAGTAGTCGGCAGTAGTCGTAGTAGGAAGCAACACGGCCGTGGGCGACCCCACGCAGGTTCCACAATAATTTTTACAGGGTTCGGCAGGTGACGCGCTCTCCGACTCGCCTACTTGCGTATTCGTTGAGGATCATGCGTGGGAGAGTAGGAGCGTATTCTTCTGTTCGCCTATTCCCCTTTTCCTTTAAGACCATGGTTGGGTGAGCCGGAGAACGCTCTCATACTCGCCTGGTCTCCGACTCGTTTGGAACCATGGGCGGGGGAATAGGAGGGTGTTTTCCGTCGTCTAGTCTCCTACTCGTTTGGAGCCATGGGTGGGAGAGTGGGAGGGCGCTCTCCTACTCGCCAATTCTCCTACTCGTTTGGAACCATGGGTGGGTGGTGGTGGAATTCGTAGTGGCGCCCGAAAGGAGGAGGCGGAGGAGAAAGGAGGGCGACGATGAGGGGGGTGAGGAGGGAGGGCGGTCAGAGGGGTATGAAGGAGGAGGAGGAGGAAGAGGAGGAGGAGGAGGAGGACAGAGGAGGAGGAGGAGGAGGAGGAGGAGGAGGAGTAGGAGGAGGAGGAGGAGGATGAGGAGGAGGAAGGGAGTGAGGGAGGGAGGGAGGGAGGAGGAGGAGGAGGAATAGGAGGAGAAGGAGGAGGAGGAAGAGGAGGAGGAGGAGGAGGAGGAGGAGGAGGAGGAGGAGGAGGAGGAGGAGGAGTGCGGCCCGTGACCGTGTCAGGCCACGCCCGCCGATGAGCTGCCTGATAGGTACGTGGCCGTGCACCTGCGCTTCGGGACCTTCGCTGGGGGCGAATGGAGGGCTTCTACTGTTTCTCCTCCTCCTTCTCATCCTCCGCGCCTCTTCCTTCTTTTTTCCCTTATGGCGAGCTCAAGTGCTACGTCACAATAGGCAGAAAGTGCCCCTCGCCCGCTTCAGATGCGGATGTGACCGCCTCAATCTACGTCCACTCCTCCCCACCCGTTCATGCCGTATACCCCCCTCCCCTTCTGCCTCCCCCCCCTGGGTGCCTTTCCTCTCCTTCCCCTCCCCCTCCCCTCCCCTTACCTCCCCTCCCCTCCCACGCCTAGCGCTAATTATTGTGTGTTTGTTCCCCAATCCTCCTGTGCTGGGCTCTCGTTTTGAATAGAGCGCTGCGGTCGCGCACCTTCTCCTCCACCCCCCCTCTTCCCCCTCCTCCTGCCTCCTCCTGCGCTGCTCCCTGGGTGGCTGCGAACTGTGCAACTGTCGCCACTCTTGTGGGCTCCCGGGAGGCACGGGGGAGTAGGAGAGTACCCGAGACCTCGCAGCTCTCTGGGTGGTTGCGAACTGCGCAGCCGTCGTCACTTTCGTGGGCTCCTGGGAGGCACGGAGGAGTAGGGGAGTACCCGCAGTTCGGAGCCGTCGCCACTGTCGTGGGCTCCTGGGAAGCACGGCGGAGTGGGGGAGTACCCGATACCTCGCAGGTAACTGGGTGGCTGCGAGCTGCGCAATTGTCGCCTCTATCGTGGGCTCATGGGAGGCACGGCGGAGTAGGGGAGTACCCGATACCTCGCAGGTCCATTGGTGGCTGCGAGCTGCCACTTTCGTGGCCTCCTTGGTACCCGAGACCTCGCAGCTCTCTGGGTGGCTGCGAACTGCGCAACCGTCGCCACTTTCGTGGCCTCCTGGGTGGCACGACAGCTGAGGCACGGCGGAGATAAGGGCGGCGCAGATCGTTCATGTCTGGTGATGTGTTCTTTGGGATTCAACTTTCATACAAGGATCCGCCTCCCGTGGAGAAGGGGTTGGGTACGTCTCGGGGAACTGTCGGAGGATGGGGGTCCCGGGGCACTCTTTAGGGAGACAGCGTCGATGCCAGCACCGAAGCCAGCCCCGAAGCCAGCACCAACGCCGACGCGTACGCGAGGTTCCAACGCCTGCGCCTACACCAGCACCGACGCGAGCTTCGACGCCAGAATCCGAGCCAGTCCCGATGTCAGCACCAAACTGGCGTCTACGCCGGCGCCACCGCCAGCACCGTGTGCAGCATCAGCGCCTACGCCCTCGCCCGCGCTAGCAGTGACGCCGGCGCGAACAGCATCAGCAGCGTGGGCCAGCGCGGGCCATCAGCAGCGCGGGCTATGCAGCTGCGCGGTCGCCGCCGCCTCAGCAGTGTGCGGATGGACAGGAGGTTCAACCTCGGTCTATTGGGGAAACTGGATCTTGGTTTCGGGGTGGGTGCGTGTGGGAGATTTTTTGCTGAGCTTCTTTTGGTCTTCCGGCAGGTTCCCGTCAGGACTTGCTGCGGCTGAGACGTCGGCGTCGAGGTGAAGGTCGAGGGCTCTGGGCGCCTCATGCTGCAGATCCTCCTCAGGATTGGCACCGCGGGCCACTCACCCAACGGCCGCGCGATCAGGAGGGTGGTGTTCCCGCCTTGGGCTGAACGGGTGGGGTGAATCGTTCCAGTTTCGCTGAGCTGAGGGGCCGTGAGCATGCAGCCCGCAGTACTTTGCTCGTTTTCCCTCGTTCTCTGTCGATCACCGCTTTGCATTGTATGTTAGCCTAGTGTTCTTTAAATTCTCACTGGCGCTGGTCCCCGTTCCTCGGGGCGGCGCTCACCGCCTTTGGGGCGTCAGGGGCGGTTTGCTCTCAGAGCTTCCCGTCTCCTGCACCTCCCAAGTCCGGCTCCACATTGTTCATCTCATTTTACTGGCCGTTTGTGTGTTTCCCTCCTTCTCCCTTCTTCCCTCCCTCCTCCTCCCTTTGTCCCCCCTCTCCTTCCCACCCCCGTTTCACCGATACGATCTGGGGTGAGTTCGAATCGTGTAGAGCTCTGGTGCCAAAGAAGGGGGCAAACCAGACACTTTTAGAAATTAGGTTTGCGTGTTGGCTCCGTTTGTGCAGTTGTCTTTCTTGTTGTCCTCCTTCCCTGTTTTTCCTGGAACTTGTTGCCGTAATTTCGGCCACGTTCGCAGGACAGCCTCCGTCCACTTCCTGTGCATGTGCGATGCCGCTGCGCTTGACCTCGTTTCTTCACCGCTGTTCGGCCATGTGGCGTGGGCCATCGTGCCGCGGTGGTCGTGTTTCTATTTCGAACTCGTTTGAAGATCTGGTGCCTCGGCCCTGCGCCAACCGTGCGCTCGGGCACCGCTTAATTCCAGAGGCCTGCGGCGTACGCGCCCTGTCGACTAAGGAACTGCGGTGTCGACCGATGCGTCGACCGATTTCTCGTACCGGTTGCCGCCATTGAGATTTGTTCGGGGCCAGAAGTTGCAATTTTTCTCGCACCCACGGCTTCGCCCATCCAGCGGAGCAGAGCCCCCCCTCCCAAACAAAAACTCTTCAGGGAGGCAGTGGTGGAGAAGGGTGATGCTGCGGCGACTGCTGTGAGGAGTCGAGTAGGTCAAAGGAACGATGAAAAAGGCCGAGAAGGAGGCGGAGGACTGGGAGGCGGGTGGGCAGGTGGAGGAGGAGAAGGAGGAGGAGGAGGAGGAGGAGGAGCAGGAGTAGGAGGAGGAGGAGGAGGAGGAGGAAGAGCAGGAGTAGGAGGAGGCGGAGGAGGAGGAGTAGGAGGAGGATGAGGAGGAGGCGGAGGAGGAGGCGGAGGGGGAGAATGATGATGATGATGATGATGGTGATGATGATGATGATGATGATGATGATGATGCTGCGGATGATGATGATGATGATGATGATGATGATGATGATGATGATGATGATGATGACGATGATGATGATGATGATGATGATGATGATGATGATGATGATGCTGATGATGATGATGATGATGCTGCTGCTGATGATGATGATAATGCTAATGATGAGGATGATGGTGATGATGATGCTGCTGATGATGCTGATGATGATTTAGCATATGATGATGATGGTGATGATGATGCTGATGATGCTGATGCTGCTGATGATGCTGACGATGATGATGATGATGCTGTTGATGATGATGACGATGCTGATGCTGATGATGGCACTGATGCTGCCGCTGATGATGATGATGATGATGATGATGATGATGATGATGGCGATGCTGATGTTGATGATACTGATGATGACGATTATGCTGCTCATGATGAAGCTGTTGATGATGCTGCGGATGATGATGATGATGATGATGATGATGATGATGATGATGATGATGATGATGATGATGATGGTGGTGATGATGCTGATGCTGATGATGATGGTGATGATGTTGATTATGCGGATGATGATGCTGTTGATGCTGAGGATGCTGACGATGATGATGGTGCTGATGATGATGAGGAGGAGGAGGAGGAGAACGAGGAGGATGCTGCTGCTGATGATGATGATCAGGAGGAGGAGAAGGAGGAGGAGGAGGAGGAGGAGGAGGAGGAGGAGGAGGAATCCGTAGCCGTTTTGGCTCAAGCCCGTAGCGGCGTGGCTCCGAGGCTTGGCCTTCTGGTGTGGGGGGTCAAGCGCCCCCGATTGTTTTGTACACCTCCCACAGCACTGGGGACTGTACCTTCTTGTCTTGCTTGATATCCCCCCTGAGTAAGGGCACTCTTGAACTGCGGCTTGGCAAACTACTGGGCGCTACCCGAGTAAGAAATGTGGTTTCAAGTTAAACTATGAGTGGAGGAATCGTTGTCTCCGCTGCAACTCGGCTCGAGCAGGGCCCACAGTCAAGGACCAGCCTGCGCCGAAGGGTGCCTAGGCCAATTGTGTGTTTCGGAGTCGGTGCGCAAGCCCAAACCCCCGCCCAGCGTGCCGCAGCTGTCCGAGGAGCAGGTCGAGGCCTACGTGGCGTTGTGCGCCAAGAGCTACGACGCGCTGCAGTGCACGCTGGGGCCCAAGGACAGGGCCAAGATCGCTTGGCTGCGCAGCCTGCGCTCGGCCGATCACAAGCTGGCCTCGAAGGTTTCGTAGTAGGAGCACGACCAGCTCACAGACCAGGTGGGCGGGGCTCAGAGGAAGTACGACAAGGCCGTGGAGGCTTTGGAGAGGGCCGCGCTCTATGCGGCCATGCTTGGAACGGAGTTGGAAACCTTGCAGGCGAAGCAGAAGGAGGCTGCTGACCGGGCCATGCAGGCGTTCGCCCAGCTCGGCTCGCCGTTGACAGCTTCTGGTGCTGCGCAGGGCTCAAAAGCGCAAGAGATTGGCGACGCCTCACTCTTGGCTGAAATGCAGGCGCTGTTCGACAAGATGCAGGACAAGTGGGAGGCTGCGCAGGCGCAGGGTGCGCAGGCCGCAGCCGCAGCCCCAGCAGCCGATGCCAGGTCCGCCGCCATCGATGCGCAGCCTCCTGGTGTGGCCGCGCCCCCACAGTCAGGCGGCGGCGCCGCTGCTTTCGCGGGCCCTGGTGGCATGGCTGCCGCTGCGGCTGCTGAGCCTGGCTTGCCTTTTCCTGTCGCTGCTGCTACTTTGCGCTTGGCAGAACGCAGTCTTGACAAACTCGTGGCCGCCATGCTGCAGGCCGTGCAGGGCTTCGATGACGATGACGACAGCATGGACGGAGGATGAGATTGCGCCCAAGAGGCTGCCAAGGGAGTCAAGTCTCGCGCTGTCGAGCTCTTCGGTGACGCTCTCCGCAACAAGAATCAGCCCACGGCGATGTTTGTCCTTCGAGCTTTGGTTTAGCAGAGCTCCAGGCAGTCGTGACGTCACGTTCCTGACGGCAGAAGTCACTAGCCAGTTGTGGGTCGAGACGTTGCGACAGGATGATTGACGGAGCACAGCAGATGTGGCAATGGTGCAGGATACCAAAGTCACGTGGCAGCAGAAGGACAGCTTCGAGCCGACCAGGAGAAGGGCAGGCTTGAAGACTTGTGTAGAGCCAGCCCCGCGCAAGACAGGGGATGCAAGCAGCTCCCTGGCGGGGCTTACTGGTGGTGTGATGCTGGCCACTCCTGTGCGCTATATAGGCTCAGTCATTTGTCGTTGATGCGCTCGACAATTTGTGCAGGACGTTCGCTGCTCCTGCATCTCGGCCATGGGCCCAAGGGTGGATATATCATCGAAACGCTGTACCTGCGCGACTCCGAGGGCCTCGGCGAGCGCAAGTGGGGCATCTCCTATGAGGTCGGGCGCGATTTGAAGAATGCTGGGTTGCAGTCCGTGCCTGGCGCGGCCTGGCATCCCATTCCAGAGGAGTTGGGTGAGAGGGGTTGGGCCGCAGGCATCGGGGCCGCGGTCTTGGCCCCCAAGAGAGGCACGGTCAGGCCTTCCCGAGAGGACCGTTGACTATTCCGGGGTCGGCAGCTGTCTGGCCGAGGGAACGTCGGTCGAGGTCCTAGAGGACGTGGAGGTCAGCCCGCATTGACCTGTGCGACTGCGTCTGGCTGTGCCGCGACGGCCCTCTGCTGTTCGCATCGTTGTGCAGCCGCCCAACTTTCCCCTTGCAGTGCCGACCGGCTGCCGTCGCGGTTTCCAGGGGCCTGCCTGGGATACCAAAGCCGAGAGTGCTTAGAGCCCCAGCGCCAGCACCCAGGAGGCGCAGGGGAAGTCCGTGAGCGCGGCCGAGCAGAAGCGGGTCAAGATCTTCGGTGCGAGCCCTGCCGACCGCGAAGCGTACCTTGGCCGCGGCTCGCCTCCCGCGGTCAAGCCTGTTGTGCCGCGGCAGCCGCGCGCAGCCCCCTACCCGAGGCTCAGTTCCGAGGCCGTGTGGTGGAGAGGGATGGCGCAGTCGCTCACAGACGGGTTCGTCTTCCGCAGAGCCTGGGTCGATGCTTCACGACGGCGGCAACTCGGCAGGCTCTGGCGCGCCGCTGCTTTGCCGGGGCGCTGCTGAGTTCCAGTCTCTTTTGCAAGCTTCCTGCAGCGTGCCGATCTCGGACCAGCCGACATCGACATCTTGAAGGCTTCTGCTCAGTGCAGGGCCGCCTAGCTCGCGCAAGCCAATCAGCGCGAGAAGGAGAGAGGTCGGGGGGCTTGGGTGGAGAAGCACTCCCATGAGCAAGGGGCCTGAGATGTGTGCAGTTTTGCCGAGGTTCGTGCAGGTTGGGCCTCATATGAGGTCAAGGTAGATCACGTGCCCGCGGGTTCAGCTGAGCATATTCAGAAGTTGTGTATGGACTGGGAGGCTTGGTGGCGTGTCTCGGAGCCTCACCCTCCCCTCTCTTGGCCCGATCCCTCCAGCCTCGAGCCGCCTCCCAGACCCGATGCCGCGCAGCTTGCGCGTGTTCTTCGATCTTTCAAGCCCTTCGCGGGCCAGGGGCATGATTGTGTGAGCACTCGCCATCTGCTGCTTCTAGGAGGCCGAGTTCTCGAGGCGTTCGCAGTGGCCTTGCATCGGATTGAGCTGCGACTTGAGTGGCCAGTCATCTGGAACGCGGTTTTTTCCTGGTCAAGAGGCTAGGGGGTGTTCGACCAGTTGCGCCCGTGCACATCCTTGCTATGCCTTGCATCGATTGCGTAAGCATGGGGTCCGGGACTGGCAGAGTAAGGATGTCAGGGTTTTCGACTGGGGAGCCAAAGACAAGGTCTGTGACAAGTGCGTCTGGGTGCAGGCAGCGTGGGCCGAGTGGGCTCGTGGTCGTGGGATGTTGTCGGGGACGGTGCCTGTGGGCCACGGCCTTTGAGCTCATTCGGCGCCGCCACCTCATTGCCGCCGCGCAGCGCGCTGGTCACCCCCTGGGGCCCCCTGTCCCGCGGGTGAGTTTGTATCGTGTGCCCCGCGCGCTGGACGTGGGCACTCGTGCGTCTGAGCCTCTTTCGCCAGAGCAAAGCGTGCTCCCCGGTTGTACCTTTGCCACTCTGATGCCCCAGTTGGTCATGCCGGGGCCCGCGGGCGCAGGGCTTGCTGCTTCCCACTCCTGTTGCTCTTTCGAAGATGGTCGACGACGTTGGCCTCCAACATTTTCGCGGAGAGTCACCTGCCCCAAAAGAGCTAGTGGCTGCCGCGGTCGAGCTGCAGGCGTAAGGGTTAAAGCATGATTTGCGCATTGCCAGAGACGAGAACTTTTTCTAGGTGGCGCAGGACCTCGGTTTCTTCGGGGGCGAATGCGTGCGCGCTTAGAGGAATCTGGGGGTGGATTTCGGGTCGGGGAGACGTCTGGGGAGGAGAACTAAACAGGGGCGTCTTGTCGCAGGAGCGTGGGGCCAGTCAACGCAAAGCGGCGAAGGCTTGTTTCACGCGTGGCGAAAGCCGCGATCGAGGCCCGCGTCAGTTACGGCACCGGCGCCATTGGCGCGAACGGGCAACCCGTCAGTTGGTCGCCAACCAGGGGCCCGCCAGCCCCTCTTCTTGGGCCCTCCGCTCCATCCTGACCCCTGGCAGGCGTGTGGGCCTAATGTACCAGGCCTCTGCAGAGCCTCTCTGTGCCGTGCTGGCGTCGGGGCAGCGAGTGTGGGCGCCCCAGCGCGTTGTTCTGCAGGCCCTCCAGAGCGCCCAAGCCAAGGCCCAGCAGCGAAGAGGGTGTCTGCGGCAAGGTGTGTCTCGGATTATTTCTCTTGTTTTTTTTCTCTGGCCACGTGTGACCGCCTGGGGACTGCTGTCGAGGGCTTCTGAGCCTGGACCTTCCCGTGGGGGGCTGTCTTTGATCCCGCGGCCAGCTGTCCGCATAGCCCGCGCGTGCTAGTCGATCGAGCGTGCGAGGCCTGGCAGTGGAGATGCGCGGCCAAGAGCTTTCATCGTCCTGAGTTGGAGAATGGAGGCTTGATCGAAGCCATCCTCTCTTTGCTCTCCAGGCGTTCCCTGCTCGCGACTGACGAGAGAGCCTGCCTTCTGTCGGCGGTGATAGGCAGTCAATGGAGACAGCGGCGCATGCATGAGGCCAAGCTAACCCGTTCTGCCGTGTTTGGAAGCAAGCCCAGGGGACCTTTTTCCACAGGCGCCTGGTATGCGATGGGCTCGTGTCTGCGGGCATCTCGCCACTGGCTTCGCTTCGAAGGGCGCTGCCCGAAAATCAGTCCGAGATCGTGGCTTGCTGGGGATTTGTTCGTTGACGGGTCCAGGTGCGATTGCCGGATCCGGAAAGCTTGCGCCGCAGCTTAGCCCGTTGTTGCTCTCCGCCCGCCCCCGTCCCGTCCAGACTTCGCTGTGTCGGCGGTCTTCGGGGGAGGGGTGGAAGGCGCTGTTCAGTGCATTGACAAGGCAGAGTTGCTAGCGGTGCTTCGAGCTCCGCAGAAAACCATATCTCTTATTGTGATTCACGCGGACAGCGAGTTCGTGTTTTTCGGCTTCGCGGAGCGTGGCAACACCAGCCGTTGCCACCCGTCCAATGCGCACTCAGACATTTGGAGCTCAACGTGGGCCAAGATTGAAGGCTGGGGTGGTCCTGTCTTCTGCCCTCCTCCCTCGTCCTTCATCCCTCGCCCCCTCTCCCTTTCCCGACTCCCTCCTGCCCCATGCGCGTCCTCGTCTCTCTTACCCTCTCCCCGGGAGGAGGGAGGACGCGTATGATGTAGGTTGGGGGAGGAGGGGCATGAGGAGAAGGATGACGTCGAGAAGGAGGATGAGGAGGAGTTTGGCATCAGCATTACCCCGCGTCCACCATCCTCGTCCGATGCTTTCTCGGGGGACGTCTGGATCAGCAGTTCCTCGTGCCCCTCCTCCTCCCCCTCTTCCTCCTCCTCCTCCTCCTCCGCCTCCTCCTCCTCCTCCTCCTCCTCCTCCTCCTCCTCCTCCTCCTCCCCCTCCCCCGCAGCGGGGGGGCAGTCGCTGCTCTGCTGGGTGCCGTATCCTGGTTCTCGGCCCTATGCCGCGGGGACATTGACAATGCCATGTGCGCTTCACGGCTTGGTGTCAGCATGCCGGCTTGTCTTCTTGGGTCCCGCTCCGCGGCGCCTTGCCTCGGGCCGTGGCGTTCAGCTACGCACGTGACGCCGGAGCCACCTTGAGCTTCCAGGCGCGGGGATCGTGCGTTTAGTGGAGTGGCGGGGCCGTGTGGTCCATAAGTCTCATGGGGTACCAGCTCAGTTGCACGTGTCATATGTTTTGGCGTGGGTTGATAGTCGGGAAAGACCTCACAGTGAGGTGAACCGAGCGTTCCTCTACGCACCACCGCCATCACGTATGAGTAGCGAGTCGCGTAGCGACAAGGCGCTGACCTGTATTTCGACCGTGTTGCGTGAGTTCCTCGCCGATGAGCGAGCGGCGCCCCCCTGCACGTGAAGAGGGTGGTCTCCCCGTGTGGGGGTGGAAGGCGGCCCGTTTTGCGATGAGGCGGCAGACTTTGTGAGACAGTCCTCTCGCGCGGGTTGCTTCTCTGTTCTCCGCGGCTCCGTGATTCTTCCTCCTCTCCTTTCATATTTTCCAAGTCGGCGTTCAGAGAGACGAGAGTTTGCGGCGCTTGCTGCTGCTAAGGCCCCGTAGGGCAAACTGAGCTGACCTGAAGTTCTCGTCCGCCTTGCTCCCTCTCATCCTTGGGAACCCGTCGTAGCGTTCAAATATAGCCACATGCTTCGGGTGAAAAGGTGGCCCCCCTTACCCCATCTATATGATTATCCATGGGGCGTATGTCGGTTCAAGTTGCCACAACAGGCGCGGGGGGCGAATTTTGGGCGAACTTCACAATCGCCTACAACGCTCGCGTCGGCGGTCTGATCTTCACAACATGCGTAGAACCGAATACTCGTTATTATCAAGTTCGTGAGGATGTATCAAGCGAAACGCAAGGTTTCGAATTTTCGCAGAACTCACGACCAGCAGCTTTCCGAGGGTGTATTTATATATATATATATATGCAAACGCACTGTCGCGAACGTGATAGTTTTGCATGGGCGTTTCAAGCGAAACGGTCAGTGTTTCGACCAGCTTAAAGGTCATTCGAGACACATCTAGACACCCCCATGTATAAATCCGGGACAAAGTTGTTATCCTCCCAAGATCTTGGATTTTTGCTATCTCCAGGGTGCGAATCTCACCGGCATAGGCTTACTTCGCCTCCCACCTAAATGGATTAATGGCTATGGTGAAGGGGAAGTGGCTTTGACGACGATGATGACATGGTTGGTGGTGTGTTTTTTTTTGAAGGGAAGACGGGACATGCACTCAAGCTGTTGATTGTGATGATGGGGGTGAGGGTGCTGAGGACAGGGCGGGGATGCTGATGATGCTGCTGATGATGATGCGGATGATGATGAGAATGATGCTGCTGATGATGATGCTGATGATGGTGATGATGATGATGATGATGATGATGATGATGATGATGATGAGGATGGCGAGGGTGGGGGGTGGCGAGGATGATGATGATGAGGGTCGATGGGAGATGTGGAAAGATGGAGCAGGGATGTTGCTGATGATAATGCTGGTGTTGTCCTGGTGATTAAAAGGATGATGTTGCCGCTGGCGGTGATCATGTTGACAACGACCGGGGCTATGCCGAGGATGGTAGCAATACCGACACCGACGCTAGTGCTCGTCGTGACGATGCTGCTGCGGATGAAGTTGTCAGCGAAACGGAAAAGATGCCACTGCCGATTCTGCGGGTGAGGGTAACATTGCTGATGCTTATCATGATGACGGTGGTGATCGCGACGACGATGATTATGGTGCTTGTGATGCTGATGCGGATCATGATGGTGCTGGTGGTGGCGATGGTGGCGGTAAATAAGAGGATGACAGTCTGGACTATGATGCGGATCGTGATGGGACGGTGAAGCATAAGAGGAGGAGGACTAAGAGGAGGAGGAGGAGGAAGAGGAGGAAGAGGAGGAGGATGAGGAGGGGCAGGAGGAGGAGGAGGAAGAGGAGGAGGATGAGGGGCAGGAGGAGGAGGAACAGGAGGAGGAGGAGGAGGAGGAGGGAGGATTAGGAGGAGGAGAAGGCGGAAAAGGACCAGTGTAAACCAGAGACTCATCAACGATGTTAGAATGAACCCTCCCTCCAAGCTCTCTCTTCTTAGACCCCTACGCGGAGGAGGGGGATGAGAAGGAGGAGGAGGAGGATCAGGATGAGGAGGATGATGAGGAGGAGGAGGATGAGGGGCAGGAGGAGGAGGAGGAGGGGGAGGAGGAGGAGGGAGGATTAGGAGGAGGAGGAGGCGGAAAAGGACCAGTGTAAACTAAAGACTCATCAACGATGTTATAATAAACCCTCCCCCCAAGTACTCTTTTCTTAGACCCCTACGAGGAGGAGGGGGATGGGGAGGAGGAGGAGGAGAAGGAGCAGGATGGGGACGATGAGGAGGAGGAGGAGGATGAGGAGGAGGAGGAGGAGGACGTGGACGAGGAAGAGGATGATGATGATGATGATGAGGAGGAGGAGGAGGAGGAGGAGGAGGAGGGGGGGGGAGGAGGATGTGGAAGGATGCGGAAGGATGGGTGGTTGGTGGTTGGGCCTGGTGGAGGTGGGGGATGACGAACAGGAGGTAAGTGGAAGGACTATAAAGACGAGGAAGAGGAGAAGCATGAAGATGACGAGGAAGGAGGGGGAGAAGGCGAATGAGGAAATCGCTGATGATGATGCTGATGATGATGCGGCTGCTGCTGCTGCTGCTGCTGCTGATGATGATGATGATGATCACGATGTTGTTGATGATGATGACGGTGATGATGATGATGATGGTGATGATGATGATGATGATGATGCTGACGATGATGATGTTGATGATGATGACGATGATGATGATGCTGATGATGATACTGTTGATGATGATGACGACGATGATGCTGATGCCGATGCCGATGCTGATGCTGATGCTGATGCTGATGCTGATGCTGATGCTGATCGGCATCCCCCCAACATACTTATACTATGTGTTCGTCGCCCCCCCAGGGGCGACGCGCGCACCGAGAAATCTTGTAGTATATGCGTCGTGGCGGGCGCTTTCTGGCCACACCGCTCGAGAAACGATATACTACAAGATGGGTATACTATATGTTCGGGTCGGACGCGCGCCTCCAAGGCGGACATACAGTATTAGTATGTCTCTGTGCGTCCCAGCTGATGCTGATGCTGATGAGGATGCTGCGACTGCTGATGATGATGACGACGACGATGATGATGATGATGATGATGATGATGATGATGATGATGATGATGATGATGATGATGCTGATGCTGATGCTGATGCTGCTGCTGCTGATGATGATGATGATGTTGATGATGATGATGTTGATGATGATGATGATGATGATGATGATGATGATGATGATGATGATGATGATGGATGATGATGCAGATGGGGGAGGGGAGGGGAGGGAGGGGGGAGGAGGATGGGAGGGGGGGGGGGAGAGTGGGGAGGAGGGAGAGCCTCCCTGGGGAGGGACCAAATGTTCAACGGCTCGAACTTCCAGCCAGACAGCCAGATCGTGCTGAGGGCATTGCGCTGCGCCGCGGAGCTGGGCAGGGCGCTGCTGGGCACCGG